TTGATTGCGATCATGCAGATGTTGCCATTTCATTGCAGTGGCGATGATAATGTCAGGCTTGAAGGAAGTTGGGTTGTTATGTGAAAAACAGAGGGAGTTTCTAGTTTTCCAAATATTCCAGCAAACCAGAGGGAAGAGGCTGCACCAGTTAACGGATGAAACATGTTTGGTTTTGGAGCGGCAATTTTTTTCTAGCCAATTAGGCAGGTCGAGGTCGAAAAAAGAAAGGCAATCTGATGGGATTCCCACTGCAGTCCAGCTACTCCTGGCTATGGGGCAGTCCCTCGAGACATGGCAAGTAGATTCAGGTAGTAACTTGCACCCAGGGCACTGGTTGTCTGGTGATTTTGCGGTGGAAGAGATTGAGTTTAGTGCCAAGTTTCTGGTGTGCAGCTGACCAGATGAAATGAACAATTTTGGGGAGGGGTGGAATGTGCCAGACCCATGAGGAGAAGGAGAACAAGGTTGAGCAATAGAAAAAACGGATTTGCAAGAGAAAATTCCATTAGTCGTGGCTTTCCAGATTTTGTGATCAGGACCAGTATTATACCAAGGTATGGGTGTGGCCAAAATGATATGGAGAAGGTCAGTGGGAAGCTGGAAGGAGAGAAGTGAAAGGTCCCACTCCTTGTTGTTCCAACAGTCTGAGACTTTTGAGTGTGTCTACCATTCTTAAGAGGGCCCTCCAGAAGGTTTTTCAAGGGTCCCATACCTAGCCAATCATCAAACCGGTTCTGAGGACAATTTTGGAGCCTTTGTAGAGAATGTCATTACCCCTTATTCCTCTCCAAGTGGTTGAGGCTCTATAGGTACTAATGCTAGGGGATGGGTACTTAGATTTTAGAACTTGAGCCCAAAGATCCTCAGCATTATTCTGAAGTAGCCAACCCAACTTAGCCACGGCCACTGTATTTGTCAAAGCAGTTTGGCGGATGTCTAATCCCCCCATACATTTCGGTTTAGTGATTGTCTCCTAACCCACTGAGGGTATTTTCCTATGTTTCCGTACATGAACCCCAGAGAAAATCACGGCTGATTTTGTCAATGGTGTTAGAGATGGAAGAAGGAAGGAAGTTACATTGCATGATGTACGAGGGGATGGCAAGGTTAACAGCTTCGACGAGAGTACATCGTCTTGCAAAGGAAAGCAATTTGGATTTCCAGCCAGCAAGTTTTGCTTGGAGTTTATCGATAACGAATTGAAAGTCAGCTGCCTTTGGTCGATGGGGGTGTAGAGGGCAACCCAGGAATTTACCTAATGATCTGGCTTCAGGAATTTGAAAGGTGGAGGTAAGGTTGGCTTTGACTGAGTCAGAGATATTAGAAGAGAACACTTCGGCTTTAGTCGCTCACTTTTTGACCCAACGCCTCACAGAATTCCCAAAGTATGGAGGAGTTGGTTTCACAATTTTTGGTGGAAGCTTCAGCAAACAGAATGAGGTCGTTGGCAAATAACAAATGGGATAACGGGGGGCCATTTATCAAAGAGATAATGAGCATCCACTTACTCAGCATCTTTATCTCAAGTCATTTAAATGGAAATGATTACAGATAAGCCAAAATGTTGGTTAACCAATAGGCTGTGAGGCCCCGTTTTTTTTCAAAATATAGAATGAAATATAGAATGAAAGGACTTGATAGTAAGGCAATGTTTTCAGACGTAGAATGAAAAGAATTGATAGTGAGAAAATTGATAGTGAAGGGGTTAAGTAAAATTATGTTTATTTTGATGATAGTTGTTAATGTAGAAATTGTTAAATTATTTTTATATAAAATAATAAAACAAATAAAAAAATATAAAAAATTAAACATTAATTTCCAAAAAAGATTCTCACTACGTAAAAAATAAAAAAACAAAAAAAAAAATTCTAATACAATCTCTATTTCCTCCATCTCAATCCCCCTTCCAACCTCCATCTTAATCTCCTCATCCATCCTAATCCATTCCTCAACTCTACAAACAAACACAACACTAAGGTGCTGTTTACGTTTTCAGTTTTTTGTTTATATTTACAAAAATTTAAAAAAACTCAAATAAAAACTTATTTGGTAAAATTTTTTATTTATAAATCAGTAGTCTCAGTTTATAAATTTGGCTAAAAAATGAAAATACAAAAAATGTGTTTCCATTTTGAGTTTTCAGTTTTTTTTTTTTTACCCAACACTAGCCACCACCCGCCACCATTTTCCACCACCATCTTCCTGCCACTTACCACCACCCTTACCACTACCACGCACCCACCGCCACCACTCGCCACTGCCATCCAACTGCCTGCCACCACCATCTACTTCCACCACCACTCACCACCCACCTGCCACCACCACCATCCACCACCTGCACCACCAGCCACACCATCACCAAGCCACCATGCCGCTCACCCCGCACCACACCACCACACCACCACTATCACCCACCACCCACCCATCTGCCACCACCACCGCCACCGCACCCACCACCCACTCGTTACACCTACACCCGCCACCGTCACCCACTCACTCACCCGCCACCGTCACCCACCCACTCACCACCACCACCATCCGCCACCTACCGCCACCGCTGGCCATCTGCCACCCACCTGCCACCACCACCGCCGCCACCACCACCACCCGCCACTGTCATCCACCCACCCACCATCACCACCCAACCACCACCCGCCACCCACCTACCACCACCATCCACCACCCGCCACCATCACAATCACCACCCACTCGTTACTACCCACCACCCGCCACCGTCATCCACCCACCCACTATCACCACCGCCACCACCTAGCACCACCCGCCATCCGCTACCCACATGTCACCACCACCCACTCGCTACCCACCCCGCCACCATCACCCTACCCACCCACCACCACTACCATCCACTACCACCAGCTACCCACCACCACTGTCACCACTTTTCACCACCGTCTTCCGCCGCTACCGTCACCCATCCATTCACCACCACCTACCCGCCACCACCACCCACCTGCCACCACCACCCATCACCCGCCACCACCACCACCACCATCACACCGCCCACACCACCACCACCCACCGCCACCGCCGCCACCACCACCACCACCACCACCCCCCACCGTCACCACTTTTTACCACCGTCTTCCCGCAGTCACTTGCCACCACTCGCCATTTCTCACTCTTTTTTATATTTTAAATTTTTTTTTAAAACATTTTGTCAATTACCAAACGCGTTTGTAGTTTATGTTTTTCTAAAAATAAACAAAAAATAAACAAAAACCAGTTTATAAAATTTTTGTAAATATAAACTGAAAACGTAAACGTTACCAAACACATCCTAAATAATCCCACCACTATCTTAATCTCATTCTATCCATTACACCTCAAAACAAACGAGGCCTAAATAAATTGGGTGAAACGAATATCTTGCTCATATTCCACTTGCCTTACATCTCAACCTAACAATGGACTTAAGCCTTGAGTAGATTTTGTACGCTTCTGTTTTAACACGTGATTCTCTATCCTCAACAATATTTGTCTATAAAAATGTGTTATTATTTATGTTCCATCAAACTAATTAATTTCAAATAAAGTAAAAGCAATTCTGGAGATTCACATCTGAGACATTCCAAATACACCTACAATGATGTAGAAGAAAATTGAGCTCCATATAATTATGTAATAAATTAAAAATTAACACTCATCTCACATTATTTTGATTAAAGTTGTCACTTTACACCATCTATAAATTGATAGATATTCATCCCTCAACTATTATTTAACTGTTAATAATTAGAGAAGACTGGATGTAATAAAGACATGATTAATGTTATTATTTAAATATATATATATATATATGTTAAATCTTTGAGGACAGGATCCCCAAGAGAAAAATCAGATGAAGAATAAATAAGAAAAAGATCCAGATCTAGATTTCTCCCCATTTCATATTTCAGGAATAGATTGGAGATCCACATCAATAATTTTTTTTTAAATGTACACAAAGTTTTAGATTTATGAACCTGGAACCCTCCATATCAATGTTTTGAAAACCGTAGCTATCAACAAACCGAAAAAAATGATCAAGTAAACGAGTCATTGGTTCAACCACAAATAAACCGAAATCAAATCATAATGTCATAATTATATCATAAATAATTTTATAATATATTTGCACAAAAAAAAGTAAGTTCAAGGAAAAAAAAATTATATATATATATATAACATATACAGACTAAAACAAACTTATAATACAACTGTTTTTTAGCATTAAAAGCAACAGATGCATGAATAGTAAGCATTTACAATATATTGTGAAAGGTTGAAGATTCGAATCCTTCTCCCATCAATAATGTTTTAGAATGTTGCTGTCAGTGCTGTCAACCCATAAGTTCAATGGACAAGCGGGTTGCCGATTCAACTGATCCAGACCAAGTTTTCAAAACAAATGGTTATGTGAGATAACAGTTGAATCCAAACCAAACCAAGTTTTCAATACAAATGGTTGTGTGGGATAACTCAGACCAGAAACTGGACCGGCCCATGGGTCAACCGATCAGACCAGCCAGTCCAGTTTCAAAACCATGGTCCATGTACATTGTACCCTGTTTGCATCATTTGTTATATATGATAATACGAAATTCAAATACAGACAATTATTTATTTTATCTTTTGCCAGATGCAGACAAATTCAAATGCAAAAATGACCATCTACAAAAAAATGTGCACAAAGGAATGTTCCACAGGTGCGAAACATCCAGATATGGAAAACATAAAAATTAGCAAAACAATTAAACGCTTCCTCACACATCATCAAAAATCCATTCCAACATTAAAAGAGAGAACTTTCAAGTTTCAACCTCTTGCAAATTGAATGATTTACAGTGCCCCTAACTGACAAAGCTGTACTGCTTTCACATTATCGAAATTTGGACAGCACACATTACAGTTATGCAAGTGTGATATCATTATTCACCATAACAGCAACATACTGAGAAAAACATAAAGCACAATATCCATACCAGAAAGCACAACCATGGTCACCAAAATTTAAGAAAGCATTAATATATATAATAGTCTAGAAACCGAAATATGTGATAACCATACCATTCAAATCAACCTCAACATGCTGATGTTCCTCAAGCTTATTAAAACTTACCGACAATCACTTGTGGATCACGATATATAATTAGAGGGGAAAAAAAGCCTAAAACTATGCCTGGGGATAAAAAAACACACACACTCACACTCACACTCTAATATCCAACACTCCCATATACTCTGCATAGAAAAAGCATAAACAAAGCAGGAGGAAAGCAAAAACTCACCCATCTCAGTACTTGTAGTCCTTGACATGAAGGCTCTCTGCAGCACCCTCACTCAACTTACCACTTCCCTGGTAAGTTCCAAGGGTTGCCTCTGAGTTGGCCTTGCACCTTGTCAGGAATGCAGCCTGAGCATTCTGCACGTTTTCCGGCTTTCCTAACCAAGCCTTGAGTGTGCTCGCCTGAAGAGCCCTTCCAAAAGAGAAGGTGAGGGTCCATGGCTTCTTGGTCTTGAGCTTGTTCATGGCGTTAAGGTTGATGGTAGCCTCCTCCTCGCTCTGCCCACCAGACAAAAACACCACAGCAGGAACAGCAGCTGGCATTGTCCGCTGAAGGGCACGGACTGTGCACTCTGCAACCACCTCGGGTGCAACCTTGGGAGCCTCCGATCCAGGGGTCACCATGTTGGGCTTCAACAAAGTTCCCTCAAGGAGGACATGGTGGTCGTTCAAAGCCTTGTAAACCGCTGCAAGAACACGTTCTGTGACATCGGCACACTTGTTAATGTCGTGAGGGCCATCTACCAGGATCTCAGGCTCAACAATGGGGACGAGGCCATTCTCCTGGCAGATGATGGCATATCGAGCCAGACCATTAGCATTTTCCATGATAGCAAGTGGAGATGGTTCGGTGGGACCAATCTTGAGTACAGCACGCCATTTGGCAAACCTAGCACCGGCTTCATAGTACTTCGCGCAGCGCTGGCCAAGGCCATCAAGACCTTGGGTGGTGGTCTCACCATTGGTTCCAGCAAGCTCGACAACACCCTTGTCCACCTTGATTCCAGGCACGACACCACCTTCCTTGAGCACCTCAACGAAGGGCTTACCTACATCACAACAATACCATGTAAAATTTAGCAAACATGCCAGGCAAGATATATAGTCACAGACAACCATCTAGAGTGCAAGTAATGCCTGGTAAACAAGCTTGGTATGGCAGCAGCCTATATACCTGCAGCTGTCTTCTGATAAAGGGTTTCCTCGAAGAGAATCACTCCACAGAGGTATTGAAGAGCACCGGGAGTTGTGAATAGGAGCTCGCGGAAAGCCTGCCTGTTTGATTCAACATTCTCGACATTAATGCTGGAAAGACGTTTGCCCATAGTGCCAGTGGACTCATCAGCAGCAAGGATACCCTTTCCAGGGGTGCCAATGTAGGATGCAGTGGCAATGAGCTCATCTGCAAGACGCAGAAACTTAATTTAAATAATGTACGGACAGGCACATATCTCCACAAAATATAAATTCGTACTCAAGAAACAATGGCCTAGATATCATAAGGATAAGGATAAACCAGGTACCAAGCTTGTACCAAAATTGATGAGGAAACAAGCTTGTTACCACAAAGTGCCATAGAGTGATAACAACAAAATGTTATGTAAAGTTCATATTGTCTTCCATACCAAAATATTATGTTCTTACAAAGAGGCACTAAAAAACACAGATTTAGACAAGCCCAAAATTTCACCTCATATCTTGTACATTTTGAGGTGAGATTTAAAAAACCATGAATCGTTTTGCTAAAATATTGAATGTGAAATCATATCAAATCATGAATCATAAGATTCACCTTGTATAATACAAGAGGTGGGTGCAAACACATTGCTTTTGCAATTAAACATTTAAATTTTTGTGCAGACTGATAAATTAGGAAAACCGTTTAGCAACTTTTGAATGAGGATAACTGTTTAGCAATGTTGGACGATTTGATGAATGAGAAACTATTCAGCAGTTATTGAATATGGCTTTTATAGGAAGTTGAGGGCATTTGTAGAAAAACAATATAATAGAATATATAATACAAAATTATATACCTGTATATATATATATATATATATGAAAATTGACAAAAGAATAATGCTTTAACAGAAGACATTTTGACAAAACATTAGGCTTTCTAACACACCATCAGGCTTTCAAAGATATCACCAAGACATTAAAATTTAAGTAACAGGAAAACAAAAATATTAACAACAGCTACCCACAAAGGGTAATAGAGTGAAGAGAACTTCACAAGAACCTAAATTACAATATATTTCAAATCATTGCATTACAATGATGAATAATAAATACATATATAATAAAAATATTACAAAACAAAAAAATTGCACTGAAACACTATTTAAGTCTAGCAAGTAATACGATCTTCAACCAAACAAAGTCTAATACAATTTCAAAATGCACAAATCTAAACTAAACAAATAAATCTAGAAGTTCAGTTTATACAAGTTTTAAGACTGGCACACAGACGAACTAATCTGAGATTTGTAGCATGAAATTCGTACTTCAGGATCTAAAAGTAAAGGAAATTGTATTTTTCTTTTTTAAAAAAAAAAAAGCCAGAAGGGGCAATCATTAGTAGTCATTTTCTGAATTCTCAGCAATTTTTATGTGATCACACCATCTACAAAAATGGCAGCATCTCAATGAACAAAACTTAATAATTTATTTTAAAAAATTAGAAACCAAAAAAATGCAAGGCATATTTATATTAGAGACTAACTGAAGATCTGGAAGGAAAAAAAATGTGTGTATAGGAGACCATGATCTAGAGAAATTTTTTGAGAGACCAAAAACACAATCAAGCATATTCTTAAAAGACACATGAGATTTTGATGACCGATGAATTAATAGTTTGATCAACTAATAGCAAAAACAGATCAACGAATTAATAGTTTGATCAACTAATAGCAAAAACAGATCGATCAAACAGATAGGAAGCGCACAAAAATCCTTCAATATAACTTCCAAATATAAAATGGAAAATACATGCGACAGATGATGAATTAACCGATCTGATGGATTACAACTCAATCTACAAAATTTTGAAGCACAAAGCATAACTAATTTCTCTTAAGCTGGGTTTGGGTTTGGGTTTGGGTTTGGGTTTGGATTTGATTGAGGGATTTGAGATGAGATTTGAAAAAGGAAAAAGAAAAAAAGTTGTGTAAAATTAGATAAAATATAAATATATTTTATTCATATTTTCCATGCCTTTTCCCTTTCTCTTTACAAATCTCTTTCCAAACCATTCAATCAAACACAGCGTTAATAGATAAAATCATCATTGATCATAACCTCAAAACAGATCTGAGAAAAACACAATCTTTCGCTATAAACCAAACCAGACAAAGACAACGAACAACCAAACCAAACCAAACCAAACAAAAAGTCCAGATCTGAGAAGAAAAAACAGTAGTGAAGAAACAACAACAGATCCAACTAAATACAACAGTGTTAATGCATCTAAGAAATCAGAAACAAGATCTAGTGGCAGAGAACTCCATTTCATGTTGAGAAAAGAATTCCAAAGGGCTTACCATGGTACTTTCCCTTGTAGCAAGACATGACTGAAGAGAGGGAAGAAGATGATATATGATCTTCTAGAGAGAGAGAGAGAGAGAGAGAGAGAGAGAGTTTTAGACAGAGAGAGATGGAGGTGGGTTAGGGTTTTTTAAACGGAAACGTGAGAGAGAGACGTCGATATTATCGCAACCTAATCGTGGCTTTCTTTTCCAAGTTGTAACTTTTCCCCAAGGCGATTTTTTTTTGTCGTTTTACCCTTCTGCCCTCGCTCTTGTTGGTCTGGGCTTGGTCCACTTTTATGGCTCAAAATTTGATCGGTTTGTAATCTCGGACCAAAATTGTATGGCTCGAATTTCTATTTTGGTATTAGGTAAATTATTAATTAGTCCTTCAATTTTGATTTAATTTTTAATGTAATCCTTAAAATTTTGATTCTTTTATTTTAGTCATTTAACTTTGTTATGCAACTTTTAAACTTCTTTTTTGTAAGGATACATTCGTACTCACGGATGAAAAAAAAAATATTGGGTAAATTATACCTAATTCCGTTTTCTTTTCTTTTCTTTTCTTTTTTTTCATGTTGGATTGTAAAGTTTTATTTTTCTCACTTTAATCTTTTATAAAAAAAAAAGTTTCAATTTACTCCAAAAATTAACTTATATCCAAAATTAAGTCTCGTTTGGAAGCAGACTTTTTTAATAATTTTTTTGACTTTTTAACTAAAATATGATGTAAAAAATAATATGTTTTGAATGACTTTTTGATTTTTTACTAGAAGATGTGTAAAAAATAAAGAAAAAAGAAATCTTTGACTTTTTTTATATAAGTTCTTGATTTTTTGATTTTTTTATGATTTTTTGACTTTTAGGCTAAAAAGTAATATTGCCAAATAAGGCCTTAGACAAAAAAAAATGTCACATTGATAACCAGTGACATAAGACTATTTTATTATATATAACTCACATATCTAAAACAAATCTAAATCTTAATATATAATATATTTTTTATATCGTATGGCAGATAACGTGGTATTCTCCGTCTAATTTTGAACCAAATTAACTATAAAAGTAAATTGAGAAAAATGTAAAATATTAAGGACCAAAGTGAGAAAAATAAAATTTCAAGGGCAAAAATATATAAAATAAAATAACTAAACAAAGTGTAATTTATCTAAAAAATTGTTTGTACTCCATTTTTATTGTTGAGTTATGGACACTCTCTTTTGTATATTTCATTGTGTTTTAATCACCATTGGACATTAGTTTTTTTAGTTAGTTTTTTTTAGTTAAGATTTTTTTAACTTGAGAGTTAAAAGTTCATTTGGTTTAATTTTTTTGACTTTTTTTACTTTTGTGAGAGAAAAAGTAAAATAATTATGATTTAGAGGTAATAGTTTATCTTATTAGCTTATTTAGGGGTTGTTTGAGGTATCCTAAATAAGTGCATTTTTTGTCGTTTTGAACTAAAAAATTGAGGAAGAAAATATAGATTGTTTGGGTTAACTTTTTGACTTTTTATGGAAAAATATGTAATAAAAAATTGTAAAAATTGGTTTGTAAGAGAAAATTAGAATTGGGAGTTGTGCAGCCGTAATTGTTGACTTTTTGGTAAATAGTGTTAACTTTTTAACTTTTTGAGTAACTTTTTGACTTTTTGACTTATTCTGAACTTGTCAAACTTGACCTTAGTCTTTTTTATTTTTTTTTCCACTTTTGTAGTCCGAACTTTTTTGCCAAATGAAGGCAGTAAAAAATTGGTGGCCAACTTTTTTTTTTTTTTAATTACGCAAACAATCAATTAAATATTAATATCACTTTATCTCTCAAACTTGAAAATAATATTTTTAGACTACTCAAGTATAAAATAATTATGCAAATTGACCCCCTTAACAAAAATATACAAATGCCCCTCCTAAAAGAAGTGTAAAAGCATCTGCATCTGCCTCAATAAATTTTGAGTCAAATTATAATTCAAAATTTACTTTTGTTATTTTAGCTACTCACATTTTTAGTACTCACTGCATCAAACTCTCTATTTTAACTTAATATTATTAAAATATTAATTTCTTATTGTATTTATTATTAATTTTTTTTATAAAATTGATGAAGTGTCATCCAAACAATTCTTAAAAAATGCAAAAAACAAAAAAAAAATGTCATTGACCGGTTGACCAGTTAAACTAATTTTGGGCATTTTTATCCTTCTGCTATAGGCACTCACGGGACATCTGGTACGATATCCGGATGGACGACCAGTTTAAAAATTTTGGCCCAGTTTTGCTCTAGAAAATATAATAAAAAAATCATATAGCCAATGAACAGTGCCTCTTTAAAGTTATTGAGGTACTGTAGCAAATTTAAGAAAAAGTTAATTTACAAAACAATTGTTGAGACTGATGGAGAAAGGATTTGATGATTTCCTAGCTACATTTTAGGGTGTTGCTATTAACACCTACCTCTTTACTTTGGTCCCCCCATTTCTTTAAACACATATCCAACAAAATAAATCCCCCATTTTTTTCTTTAAACCCCCACCTTAATACAAACTATACCCCTCATCTTTTTGACTCCCCATTATCATCATCTTCAAAGCAACCTCTCAGCGCAAACCCTAATTCCATCCAATTCTACAATTTCCTTCAATCCACACACACACACACACACACACACACACACATATATATACATATATATTTATATATACAGAGATATGGTTGATGTAGTAGATAAATTAACTTATTTTCAAGCAATCACAGGCCTCGAAGACCTTGATTTGTGCACCGAAATCCTCTTCGCCCATGGTTGGGACCTCGAACAAGCCATCTCTAGTTTCACCTCCACTGACAACAATCTCTCTGCCTCTTCCACCACTACCACCTCCGTGAATGGATGCCATTGTCGGTGTCAAAGTAGTAGTAGTTCGTCCCTTCGTCGATCAGTGGCACCGAAATCATCACCGATACTCTGAACTTAGTAGCGATGCGATCTTCACTGAGACCGATCTCTCTGTTTTCTCTCTAGACTTTCTTACTGAGGACGACGACAATGAGTTCAGATTTGCTAGAAAAGATGAGAGGTTTTTATATTGGTATGGGTTTGATGAATAGGGGAGAAAGAAGAAGAATAAGGAGGATGAGAGAGATACGCAATTGAGCAAAATCGCCGGAAAGGGAAAGGTCGCTGGCGGCAAGTGGCCAGCTGTGGTCACTGGTGGAGATGGTGGTGAAAAGGTGTAGGGTTTGGAAAATTAGGGTTAGGGTTAGGGCTTGGGAAATTAGGGTTAGAATGTTAGGGATGAGGATAAAAATGTAACTTTATATTTGGACAAAATTGAAATTAAAAAAAATAAAAGGAATGAAGGGTCCAAAGAAAAAAGGTAGGTGATAATAGTAGTACTCATATTTTATCTTTTTATTACTTTGCCTCATTTGATGCGGATGCTCTAATTGGCATAATTTTATAATTTAAAAGACTAAATGTGTGAATTTAAAGTTGATAAAGTAAAGTGGTATTAAAAAATAATTGAAGAGTGTCCAAATGATTAGTTAGTTTTTTTTTTTTTTAAACAACAATTGATGGTAATTTGAATCCACAAGCTTTGTATGTGAAAACCTGGTAGAATATTTTATTTGTAATTTAACCCCTTAGACTATCCATTCTTTTACCATTGTTCTTTTTTCTTTTAATTAATATATTTTTTTTTCCCATGCTAAGCTTTATTTCTTCCAATTTTGACATTAACGTATATGCCCTTTTTTATTTTATTTTTTTTAATTGTGCTGTCTTTTATTTCTTGCAATGGCAAATTACATTTTATTCCCATTATATTTGACCATTTTCTCAATTTTGCTCTTGAATTTTTTTTTCTTACTCTAACCTTTCATATTTGAAGTTTTTCCTAATTTGCTCTAAAAGCTAACTTGTGTCCAAAATTAAGACAAAAAATGAAATATTGACAGCCACATAATATAAAAATATTTTATTATATATAACTCACACCTCTTATACAAACTCTAAATTCTAATATAATAATATATTTTTCATGTAATGTAATGTAACAACTAACGTAGCATTTTTTTTCTAATTTTGATTAAAAATTAACTTTAGGATTAAATTAAAAAAAATTAAAATATGAAGGATCAAAATAGAGAAAAAAAAAATTTAAGGATTAAAGTGAAATGAAAAAATAGTCAAACAAAGAGGAGTAAAGTGTAATTTATCATTTTGCTAGGTTGCTGGGCCAGGCCAGCCCATCAAGAACTTTAGTAAGAAGGGGTAGAACAGAAAATAGAAGGGAGAAGAGAGGGGAGTTTACAAAGATAAAGAGAAAACCACTTGCTGACCAATTGGTAGGTTGGGGAAGGGTCAAAATAAACAAAGACGAGAAAAAGGCCCTACCACTTCCCATGCTTTTTTTTTTTTTTTTTTTTTTTTTTTTTTTTCAATTTAGAGGTGAGAGAGATTGTGGTGGATTGGTGGAAAACCACCAACCAACTAACAAAAAACCAATAACCAAGAAATCTGTGGGGAGTGAGAGTAACTTTAGGTTGAAACATCTCTGTGGGATTGTTGAAAGAAACATGAAACGAGAGGGACGTCTAAAGCTGCGGTGTTAGGTTTGATGGTTTCGGAAGGAGGAGTGGGACTTGGTTTTTTAAAAGACCATTAGGTCCATCAACATCTCTCACCCTCGCCTCCTTCCCCAACATGTGGTCCTCATTGTTACCAGCTGCCTTTTTTTTTTTTTTTTTTAGGTTGAATTTGTTTTGGAAGAAATAGATAGAAAGTGAAAAAAAAGAGGAAAAAAATAATAACTTTTATGTGTTTATTTACTTTGAAAGTGGTGAAAATAGAAGAAAATTAATTTTCTTGTACAATCTATATTAGTATTGTAATTACTTTTTAATTTATTATAATAAAAAGAAAAAAAAACACAATAAAAATTGAATGTGTGAGTTATCTATAATTAAACTTTTAAATTTTTTTTATTTTTTTGTTACAAAATTTTCATCTCAATCAAATGCTTGCAAGAAAATACATTTTCTTTTCTTTCACTTCATTTTCTATTACATTCACTTTTTACCAAATTTTCTTTGTAATCAAAAGGAGCCTTAGAAAAGAAATAGAAATAGAAATAGAAAATGTATTTTCTTGCAAGCATTTGATTAAGATGAAAATT